CAAATCTCATACTTCGAAAACTTTGCATATAGCTGACTATCCTTTAGAGTCTGAAGAACCACTCTGAGATGCTGCTCATGCCCCCTCCTGGCTGCGGGAGTATATCAATATATCATCAATGAACACTATCACGAATGAATCCAAATAAGGCCTGAACACTCGGTTCATCAAGTCCATGAAAGTTGCTGGGGCATTTATCAACCCAAATGACATAACCAAGAATTCATAATGCCCATGCCGAGTGCGGAAGGCTGTCTTACGGTCATCGGATGCCCTAATTCCTCAACTGATGGTAGCCAGATCTCAAGTCTATCTCTGAAAATACCTTGGCACCCTGAAGCTGATCAAACCAATCATCAATCCTCGGAAACGGATACTTATTCTTGATTGTAACCTTGTTCAACTGCCGGTAATCAATACTCATTCTCATTGATCCATTCTCCTTGTTAACAACAATGCTGGCGCACCCCCAGGCAAAACACTGGACCTAATGAAGCCCCTCTCAAGCAAATCTTGCAACTGTTCTTTTAACTCTTTCATCCCCGGCGGGGCCATACGATATGGCGGAATAGAAATGGGCTGAGTGCCCGGAACCAGATCAATGCAGAAATCTATATCCCTGTCGGGTGGCATACCCGGCAGGTCTGAAGGAACAACATCAGGGAAATCACGAACAACGGGCACAGAATCGAGAGAGGGAACCTCAGCACTGGAATCCAGAACATAAGCTAAATAAGCCAGACACCCCTTCTCAACCATACGCCGAGCCTTCACATACGACATGACACTGTGGGTAGAATGACCTGGAGTCCCTCTCTACTCTAAACGAGGCATACCCGGTAAAGCTAAGGTCACAGTCTTGGCATGACAGCCCAAGATAGCGTGGTAAGGTGATAACCCGTCCATCAGCAATATAACACCGAAATCATCCATGTCCAGAAGAATCAAATCTACACGAGTCTCAAAAACTCCAATAACTACTATACATGAACAATGGACGCGATCTACCACAATAGAATCACCTACCAGCGTAGGCACATAAACAGGGGCACTCAAAGAACCACTAGGCATGACCAGATACGGCGCAAAATAAAACCGAAGCTTTTCTACCACAAATCAAAACAATACCTGAACCTCCACCTCTAGCATCTCTACCTCCACCTCTAATGCCTCTACCTCCACCTCTAGCAACTCTGAGAGATCTGGACGAGTCCCTCAATGAACCTCCTCACTCTCCCTCACGGGGGGAGAACTATGATAAGAGCATGACGAACCAAGTCGATGAATCTGATCTCGAGTCAAAGCTGGTGACCTAACTGGTATGTGATGTTGCTCAGCTGAAGAAGCGGTACATGACCTCACCATTCGCGAAGGGACAAGAGTAGAGGTTTCAATTTAGCATTTGAGAAACAAAATCGCACGACAGGAAAGAACAAATGTGAAACTTTTCCTAACTCTATAGCCTCTGGGGATAAATACAGACGTCTTCGTACCGATCCCTCAGACTCTACCGAGCTTGTCTGTGAACTGTGAGACCCATGTAACCTAGAGCTCTGATACCAACTTGTCACGATCCGGAATTCCCACCCTCGGGAGTCGTGATGGCGTCTACTAGTGGGAGCTAGACAAGCCAAACCTTAATTACCTTTTTCATTAACGCATTACCTCTTTTAACAAATATCAGCAATCGCATGCAAACGATGGAATTTAATAATTAAGCGGAAGTCTTAAATTAAAGAAACTGAATAAAAATGCGGAAGTACAACATAAGCCTCTACCCAAGAACTGGTGTCACAGTGTCACAGACTATCTAAGATCTACTACATACAAGGTGTGAAGAAAAATACAATAAACTGTCTCTGAACAAAAGATAATGAAATAGTGAATGAAGATAGAGGGAGACGCCAGGGCCCGCGAACGCCTGCAAGTCTACCTTGGGTCTCCGGGTGGACTGAAGGAAGCCCTCCAACTACTGATGCTGTCCAATACCTAGATCTGTGCAAAAGAGCACAGAGTGTAGTATCAGCACAACCGACCCCATATGCTGGTAAGTGCCTAGCCTAACCTCGGCGAAGTAGTGACGAGGCTAGACCAGACTACCAGATAAACCTGTGCAGATATATATACAAGTACAACAAAATAATAGCGGAAAGTAAACAATTAAAACTGGGAGGGGAACATGCTTATGGGATAGCAGATAAAACAGAATATCAGGAATAACAAAAGAAACTACATCTGATTTCTTCTAACACAGAATAAGGGAAAACAAACCACTTTCACTTGTTTCAATTTCCTCTCGTTGCAGGCGTGCAACTCGATCCCATTTCTCATAATATCACGTGGTAGGCGTACCACTCGATCCCATTTCATAATATCACGTGGTAGGCGTACCACTCGCTCCCATTTCATAATATCACGTGGTAGGCGTACCACTCGCTCCCATTTCATAGTATCACGTGGTAGGCGTACCACTCGCTCCCATTTCATANCATACCAATTTTTTCTTTATACATACTCTTTGTTACACTTAGAAGTTGCTTTAGAAACTATCAATTAGAAACCAATTTCTCTCTTGTTGAGTTTGAAAAAAAAACCTTTCACATTATCTAATGATTCAAAACTAATATTCTTCAACGAAAAAGCAATTATACCCTTGCAATATTGGCTTGACGACAGCTCTATGAAGGGGTTTCAGCTTATACCCTTCAATTTCTTGAATGTGCTAAATTGAAATTAATGATAGCAATTGTATAGACAAAGTTTTGTTATTTGTTTGATGTCCATTTATGCAAATTGACTCTTCAAACAAATATTCTTCACGAAGAAAAAAGAAACAACTTTTTTTTTTATTTTTAATATTGACTGATTTTTGATGTTTCTTTCTCCAGCATGTATGTTTACTTTATTATATATGTAAGTAAACTTTTATTTGGTTTTGTAGACTCTTTTTTGTTATTTTTATAAACGTAGTTGTGTACCCTATATATTACATTTATTTTAAAAGAATTTTAATTTATTCAAATCTAGCTACAGTGTTTCAAAGAAATATACTTATAGAATTTTAAATGTGAAAGAGTTTTATAGTTATATGGAGTAATTTTTTTTTTTTTTGCTAGAGGCGAAGTAGTATTTAAATAATTAGAAAAAATAACAAAAGTTCCTAACATGATTTCATATGATCATTTTAACCGAATTAAGTATGATAACATGATAAAAAAAGATAAATTTTATTTTTAATTTAAATTCGAATTTTAGAACTTTATCTATAAATTCAAAATTATCTTTCAATTCAAATTCCGTTTATATTATATTATATTATATTATATTATATTATATTATATTATATTATATTATATTTAATTAAAATAGTCAAATATAGAATAAAGTTACCATATACTATTGACATTTATTAGTTTGCCACTTGGCTTAATCACAATGTCAATTATATATGGAAACTTTATTCCTTTAATATATATATATATAGACAATTATATATGTTTACATATATTATATATATATTATATAATATATATAATATTATATTATATTATATTTAATTAAAATAGTCAAATATAGAATAAAGTTACCATATACTATTGACATTTATTAGTTTGCCACTTGGCTTAACCATAATGTCAATTATATATGGTAACTTTCTTGCTTTAATATATATATAGATATAGATATTGATTTTATCCAGTTCAGGTAAATATTGTTTAAAGCATACTTAATTATATTCAAGACTTCAAGTAGAGAACCTATGACATTATGGGCCCGTTTGGCAATTAAAAAAATTATTTTGTTCCGAAATCAATGTTTTCTCAGGAAAATTTCAAATTTCACTTAAACTTGAATTTCAAAATTTTTTGGAAATTTGAAAACTCCGAAAAACTATTTTTTAAAATTTTCACTTCAAATCATCAAAAATTCAAAAACAGTTCCAAATTGTATTCATATCCAAACACAGTTCTAATTTTCAAAATTTTCACTTTTTTTCTGGAATTTCACAATTCTTATGTCTAAACGCCAGCTATATCTTCTTGGACTCTATGTATAATTATTGAAATTCCTATTCATTTGCAGTAACTTAACATTACTAACGAATCATATTATTTACATTGTACCCCACGGAATGGGGTCATATTATATAAATCCATAGATGTACAAGTGTAATGTTTTAGATTTACTGATGATAGCCTAATAGAAACTATTCGATCGTTTCAATTTCAGATATTAAAATGCAAAAATGGGCAACGGATTTGATCTACTTTGTCTAGTCCTCATGTGCAACTTGGTAGATCCTCGTCTGCGACCAATTTCTATTATTTTAAGAGATACTATTCCTACCGTTCCCATTTAGTTGCCAGGATAAGATTTTATTCGCTCATTAAAAAAAAAAATAAGAAGAGTAATTTGACTAATTTATTATTTTTTCTATCTTTTTTTAATTTTTGTCTATTTATGTCCCTCTTAATTCTCAAACAATTAATACTAAGGTTAGAGTTTAAAAAAAAAATTAAATTATCTATTAGTTTTCTGAATTAATTAGTGTTATTTGGGAATTAAGTATTTTTAGTATACCTGACATCTAAATAGATTCTCTTTTTTTATTTCATTTTAACAGAGAGAATCTTAAATTGAAAGAGAAGTCCTTCCCTAGATGATACCTGGGTAGCTGGTATCTCAATAATTGCGTAAAAAAATAGAAACTGCTGACATGGCCTCGTAATAATAATGTGAGTACTTTAATTAACTCCAGTATACAAATAGAGTAACAGAATTTTAAAATTGCCTGGTCTCTTAAAGAATACTTTTAACTGTTTGACTACAATAATACATAATAATTGAGATTAATAAGTTAAAACAAGATATAATACAAACATGTTACAACATATTTAAGTTCATTGACAGTACAAAAGTTTTTTACACTATTGATGAACTTTGACTAATACTCCTATTATTTACATGACAAAAATATGACATAAATTAGGGATGGAGTGAATAACACTTACTCCATAAGCAATTGAACATAAATTCAACGGTCCATATTCTTTCCTAGCTCTCCGGCTCTTAGTTTATATCTTCCCACATTTCCCCACTCTCACTTCTTCCTTTCCTTCTTCTCTCTAATTAAAAACCTCTCTTTTCAGCCATGACCAATCTCTAGCAAAGCTGCAAAACAAAACCCTACCAAGAAACAAGAGAGGAAATCGAGAACAGGGAAGCATAATAAAAAAGAAAAACAAGAAAAAATGTTGCTAGGAAAGAGGCCAAGGCCACCAATAAAGAGAACAACAAGCATGAAAGAATTCACCTTGGATCTTAACATAAACGATCCTTCTGTAGCCGTTGTAAATTATCAACCCTTTGATCCTCTCAACCCCTACAACTTCACTGGTTCCGTCCCACCAGCTTCCAACGGCCAAGATCAACGCTTAATCTTGACTCGCAGAAGATCAGCTGATTTTGTTGAAACTGCCCATTTCCTTAGAGCTTGCTCCCTCTGCAAACGCCAGTTAATCCCTGGTCGTGACATCTACATGTACAGGTATACAGGTGTATACGATTTAACTTATATACTCTATGAGGAGCCTTAGCGCAATTGGTAAAGTTGCTGCCATGTGACCAGGAGGTCGCAGGTTCGAGCCGTGGAAACGGCATCTTGCAGAGACACCTTGTGGTCAGGTCCTTCCCTGAACCACGCCCATAGCGAGAGCTTAATGCAGAGGGCTGCCACTTTTAACTTATACTTGTTTTCTATGTTACTAATTTCATTAATTATTGCCGATCACATGTAGTTATTTTCTAGGCAATCAATTAATAAAGATAAAATTATTCTATCAATTTATAGGGGTAGAACTCTTTACATATATGTAGATAGCTAGTTACTTATGTATTCTTTTTTGTTGAAATCTATAATAAACTTATTTGTGGTTCTTTTTTTTTCAGAGGAGATAGTGCTTTTTGCAGCCTAGACTGTAGAGAAAAGCAGATGAAACAAGATGAAAAGAGAGAGAAGTATCCGAAGGTTGCAACTAGGAAAAAAGTTACTAACTCAGCCGCCATGGCCGCCGTGGCAAGCGGAACAGGATCCGACGCTCCACCTCAGGCCAGACCGTAAGCCGGTCGCCGTATAGATTATTACCTACATATAATCACGTTGTTGAAATTAGATAATGAACAAATATTCCAGCTGATGTTCAAGTACCCACTCTTATACATGCTATCAAAGATGTGGGATTAAGATGATGCCGATGAATTGTATAAATATTTCTCTTTACTAAACTCTATGAGCTGGTGGATACTGGGGCAAGTTTTTGAAAGTTTTCATTTTAAAGGTGGATCCAGTATAAATTTGTATGCAACTTTGAACTTCCATTTCCAAGTCATTTTCTTTTGTTTTGTTTGTGCTGTAATCATGGGTTAATGGATCGAAAAAAATGGAGTAGCAGTTTTTACTGCTCCAAGTTTTTATCTTTTAAGTTTTGGAGTCTTTGGTTTTTTTCCCATCCTTATTTGCATTTGGTAGTCCCTATGTTCCCGTTTATGTGAACCTATTTCTTTTTTGGTCCGTTCCTAAAAGAATGACACATTTGTAAATTTGTATGCAACTTTGAACTTCCATTTCCAAGTCATTTTCTTTTGTTTTGTTTGTGCTGTAATCATGGGTTAATGGATCGAAAAAAATGGAGTAGCAGTTTTTACTGCTCCAAGTTTTTATCTTTTAAGTTTTGGAGTCTTTGGTTTTTTTCCCATCCTTATTTGCATTTGGTAGTCCCTACGTTCCCGTTTATGTAAACCTATTTCTTTTTTGGTCCGTTCCTAAAAGAATGACACATTTCTAAATTTGGTAACAATTTAGCTTGAACTTACAATCCTACCTTTAATGAGAAACTTTTATAACCACACAAATACTCTGGGCCCCTTTTTGACTTGTCTAGGACCACAAATTCTAAAAGTCTTTATTTTTTCTTAAACTCCATGCCCAGGTCAAACAGGTTCACATAAATTGGAACGGATGGAGTATTTAGTATTCCCTCAGTTTCAAATTATTAATTAATTAGTCGTGATTCTAAAAATAGTTGTCTCAAATTTTTTGCTCCCTCCGTTTCATATTAAATGAGCTACTTTCCTTTTTAGTCTGTTGCAAGACAAATGACACGTTTCTAAATTTGGAAATAATTTAACTTTAAACTCTTCATTTTACCCTTTTTGCCCTTAATGAAAAGCTTTTATAGCCACACAAATGGCATGACCCCACAAATACCCCTTAAGCTTTTAAACCACAAGTTTCAAAAGTCTTCTTCTTTTTTCTTAAACTGGACATGTAAAAAAAAATATGACAAATAATTTAAGAGGGAGGAAGTAGATCAATAAATTATGTAACGGTTGTGTAACACAAACTTCTCTCTATCTTTTTCTTTTTCCATTTTACTCGGTAAAAAACATGATCCAAATTTTGTTTATATAGTTCAGTATGGTTTTAATAAGAGATTCCTGGTCACGTGTGAAGAATACTAGTACCTCTTATTCCTCTTATTGTGGTACATCTGGAATAAGATCCAGCCTTTGCTAGTTCGGTAATAAAATATTCATTTTCTTATTTTAGTACTGCCACCAAAACTGGATTTAGGTTATTGTTCTTATATTTCCTTATAATTTGTGGGCGAAGCATTATAATCTTCCATTCAAATGCAAATAGTGCCTTTCATCTTGTTAACCTCTCACTTACAGTTGTATAGGTCCAAATTTGACGACCACAACTACTACTGAGTATGATAAGGAACGGGGTCATCATGGTATAGCGTCCCATGGTCGTTATAAAAGGCAGCGACCAAAAGTGGTTAACGAATGCATGACGTCTGCAGTAGTGTAAGCATAGTGGGAGACAGTAGGAATACACTTTTCGAATATTCTTTATGTTGTACCTTTTTAGGGTTTAAAAGGGGATTGTCCCTTTTAAATAGGGGCAGAACACTTTGTAAGGGGGGATCGAAAAGTGAATACAAAAGATAACTCTGTTCATTGATTACAAATCTGAAGTTTAGCATCTCTCTCCGATATTAAGAAGGATTCTACCATCATCTAAACATCATCTTTTATCTAGGTCAATCGCATTCATTACGATTGATTTCTACATCTAAGTCTTCACATTTATGAGCATTTATTCGATTTGAATAGACTCATTATATCATTCATCTTGCTTATTCCTTCCATCATTTGATCTAGGTTTTACTATGCTTGACTAAGATTGACTTCATCATCATTATCAATTGTTTTAATCAAAAAAGATTGACTTCTTTTAGCCAAACAATAGTTTTTTGGGGCATATTGGGGATTATACAGCTCTGCTAGTTTTGACAATATGGTTATTCTAAGGATGGAAATTCTTTGAAAATATCTTTAGCTTTCTAAATCGATAGTTAGTTGTTCCGTATAGTTACTTTCGGTGGTGGGCATGTCGTTATTATTATTAGAACGATGTTATGTCATCCCAAAGTCCGTAAATTTTTATAGATTTTTGTTTTACTTTTTTACTTTGGGCGGCATGTAATATTTTGAGTTAAACGAAAGTTGAGAGTTGAAACACAAATTGTTTGAGCAAAAAGTATAGAACCCTTTTGTTGACTAATTACTAGAATTATAGAAGGTAAATCTTAGCCAAACATAATTAATCCCAGATCAAGATATGCAAGGTGTAAAAATAAAAAGGAAGAAAGATTGAGAATGATATTTCTTCGTGTAATAGTTATACATCAATCATGTGCGATAAGCTTACATCTAGGACCGATTTGCAACATGAGTATGGGAGAAACGAAAAGGGAAGAGGAGGGGTTGTTCTTCCTTTAGAGAATCTCTTTATTGTCTCCCCCCCCCCCCCCGGCCCCTTTCCCTTGGGTTTAGCTACCTCTATTTATATTGACAGCTTTCCCATTTGTCCCATGGTCATTGACCAGCGTGCTTCCTCGTTGCTGCGCCTTCTATCGTTTGCTTGACCACTTCATCCGTTCCGCAACGTAAGCTTTCTTACGGTCTGGCCTCGACGATGGCCGAGGTGCTCTTTGTCATTTTGCCTTGTGCGACTAAGACTCGGTCGACCCCACATCATTCCTCTTAAGGATGATTAACCCATGGTCAGATTTTGACCCATACAGTTAGTCCCTCCATCCGATGGGGTCGCTTCTTGGCGGGCTCAACGGACGGACTTTGTTGATTTGTGAGTTAGGAGAAATCTGATCGTTGTGCGTCAAACGAGACCCTTAGGTTGAGGAGGCGGTTTGCAGCGTCATGAATGCCCTTTATACCGTATTGCGGCGCATGTCTCCTAGGCACCGTATCGTTTCCCCTGCCTTATCAGTTTTGATTGGCGGCTCTCGGGTTTCTCGCTTAGGACATTTATGATCCTATAAATAGAGGGAAAACGCCATTCTTCCGCTACACTTTCCGACTTATCAGAAGGGTGTTATTTCAAGCTAAGTTCAAAATGTTAACCCGTCATGATTCGAACGAGGTCAAATTCTTCTGTTGGCGATTGCTCTTGGCAGTATGGATGTTATTTCGAGCTAAGGTCGATATGTTAACCCGTCGTGATTCGAACGAGGTCGAATTCTTTTGTTGGCGATGGCTCTTGGCCGTAGGGTGTTATTTCGAGCTAAGGTCGAAATGTTAACCCATCGTGATTCGAACGAGGTCAAATTCTTCTGTTGGTGATGGCTCTTGGCCGTAGGGGCGTTATTTCGAGCTACAAAAGAGTTCTATACTTTTTGCTCAAACAATTTGGCGCTGTTTGTGGGGATTTCTTAGCCAAATTTCCTAGTTTTCTTTAGATCTAGAACCAGCGAAACACCATCACCTGTTCGAAAGAGCGGTAAATAAACCTTCGAGGCAACAATACTAACCTAGATTAGGCTGCTACATAAAAGTAGAAGTTATAACCAATATCTACGCAAAACCCACATCTCGCCAGTAACGATAGATTTGGTACAACATAAATACGTTCAAAATAGGATCATGGTCATCTGGCGTGACCACACCCCCATTTGACGCATTTTACTTGTATACATTAACCCGCATTCCCAACCTTTATGAGAGGACGGCAGCTTGCTGCGCGGTCCTTTGAAGGAATGGGCACACCCTGCCCTACTTTCACATTCCCTCATACATTGGATGGTCCATAAATGAAGTCTGACATGCTTCCTTTGTTGTGGGTACAAATCGAACGAGATCGGACCGGGACTCGATGCCAATACTTCATCAAGTGAGGTAGGCTCAAGTCGCGCGAAGCTTAGGCGCTACTATAGACGGAGCTAAACGCAGCCGCCAATTCAAACATGGCAGAGCAAGTAACATTACAACGTCGCTCTTTTCGCTGACCCGTTGGATCGAGAAACGGAAAATTTCATGTTGGTTTATCCATTGTTGTTGGTTTAGACAGGAACGCGAGCACTTGCATGGGAAAGCGAGCAAATGAGCATTCCAACTAAAAACAATGGAAGAAAAATTACTACAAAAACCATGGGAATGTCCGGCACCATTTCAATACCGCAATCCCTGAGAAAGGACACTCCTCAAGTCGTACCCTTTCTCCCTCACCTAGGTTCCATCCTAGTTAGTCCCTCTCGGTAAGATTTCTAACAAGGCGACGAAAGGGGCGTCTCGAGGTGCAAATATGATTCATCACCCCGCCTGCCGACTACATCCCCAGATCGGGCGACGAAAGGACTATATACGTGGAAACTTCTCCAATATATGTATGAAACGAACATGTACAGCATTCTCCCGTGACTGAAACAGAGCAACATTTTGTACTCCCCATCAAGGTAGCCTACAACGCAAACAAAATTAAGCAAACTGGGACTCACCCAGGAAACGTATCGTTTTCTCCAATGCAAGCAAAATTAAGCAAACTGGGGCTCACCCAGGAAACGTAGAGGCTGAGCAAAATTGGGGTTCCCCCAGGGAACACCCAATATTCTCCAGTAAAAACAAAACCAAGTACGCCAGAATTTGCTCCGACGTACGCATAAACAGTACGGTGACCTGTGAAATTCTCCAAAATCTCAATCACAACGGGTTAACATTTCGACCTTAGCTCGAAATAACATCCCTACGACCAAGAGCCATCGCCAACATAAGAATTCGACCTCGTTCGAATAACGACGGGTTAACATTTCGACCTTAGCTCGAAATAACACCCCTACGGCCAAGAGCCATCGCCAACAAAAGGATTCGACCTCGTTCGAATCACGACGGGTTAATATTTCGACCTTTCGAACTAATTGCTGGAATTATAGAAGGTAAATCTTAGCCAAACATAATTAATCCCAAATCAAGATATGGAGGGTGTAACAATAAAAAGGAAGAAAGATCGAGAATAGTATTTCTTCATGTAATAGTTATACATCAATCATGTGCGATAAGCTTACATCTAGGCCCAATTTGCATCCTGAGTATGAGAGAAACGAAAAGGGAAGAGGAGGGTTTGCTCTTCCTTTAGAGATTCTCTTTATTGTCTCCCCCCTTTCACTTGGGTTTAGCTACCCCTATTTATATTGACAGCTTTCCCATTTGTCCAATGGTCTTTGACTAACGTGCCTCCTCGTCACTGCGCCTTCTATCGTTTGCTTGACCACTTCATCAGTTCCGCAACGTAAGCTTTCTTACGGTCTGGCCCCGACGATGGCCGAGGTGCTCTTTGTCATTTTGCCTTTTGGACACGACTACGACT